ACATGTTTCTTCGGATTTCAGTGAATTATTGAAGAATTTGCGCGGAAATTTCGATGCGAAAAACTTGCGAGAATGCCGATAGTTGGATTTCACGATTCGGCGAAGGCGACGAGTCGCCTCCCCTCGGAACCCGAGAAGTAGTGCGTGTCGGTACGTGTCGGTACGCGTCGGTACGTGTCGGTACATCTCGCGACACGAGGAAAGTTCAATCAAATTCGGACGAAGAAGAGAAATGCGGATAAAGAAAGGAACTCACCGGCTCCAAGCAAGAGAACGAGGACCAGTTAAAAGAAGCCAAGAGATTTCATAATATCGGATTAGGGAGAAATCCCAGATTTCCCTTTCAGCCAGAACTCGCCTTGAAGCCTCGCAGCCTCTCCTTCCTCGAATGCGCGATGCATCGGAGGTCGAGTGGGAGGATATCTCTTTATCCGTGGAGAGATTCTCCTGGCGTGTTTCGCGCCTTAGCTGTCTTTGAGTGGCTTGTCGGAGGGGGAGGGGGAGGGGGTGGAGCCCCCCTATCCTATTCTAGAGTGTTTTTCCCTCTTTCTTCCTAGATTTCTGTTAAGATGAGGAATTAATGAAAATAATACGTATGATATTACGATATGTATGTGGGATGGTATGATCAGGCGTCTGGTCGTTACGGTTGCACGCTGTGAGAAGCGATGGGCCTGCATTGCTTAGCTCAAGGTCGTCTGCTTCTGAATATGTCGAAGACGGGTCATGCAGGATAGGGAGGTAAGGTGAGGACAGGCAAGAAAATAAAAAGCCGGTGACCACGGTGAAAGGGGGGTGAATGACCCCGACCGATACTTTCAGCTCTCGCCCCTAGATGTCGCTAGCGAGCCATGGTGACTGTAAATAGTAGGCGTACGTGGAACTAAAAGCTAAGTATTTCAATTCGGAATGGAATAGCCAGGGAAGCCTATAGTGACTCTAGGCTGGCAGTTGGAAAGTAGAGTTGAAGTTTCCTGTCCCGGAGCCCTACAAGACATCAGTCCCGTTAACGATGGCCCATGTTCTCTAGGGGGCCTGTCCACTCGAGAACTCCTGGAGAGTGCACTTTGATCGTGGGGGGGGAGGAGGGAAGATGGTGGTTGATACAAGTCTGTCTTGGCTCTGTCGGCCTTTCCCCTGTTCTCGATGGGCGGTCCTAGAAATTTCTCCCCCTAACGTCACATGGGCTCGAACCTAACCTTCATAGTTCGATTGGGACCATCAACCATTATCCCTAACTGATACTGACTTTCAACGTCGTGAAAGTTCCACGATAAGGTAGGAGAAGTAGTGGAATCCGGGCTCGACGAAAGCTCTGTGAGAGGCAGGTACGGACCGTATAAGCTTCTCGAATTCTCTCCCCGTTGTTCCCCGCGACAGAGCGAACCAGGAGATAACTCCGTACCTAACCTGTGTCACTTACGCTCCGCGACCTTTTATACCTTAATCTTATTAATTTTCAATCAAGTATGGTGGGAACAGTGAAAATGTCACTGTCGCTCTTATCTAATTCTTACCAAAAAAAAAAACATTTAAAACCGAAATGAAACCTCTTTGCGATAACTATTTTCATAAAGCCATTGTAGGAGATGCGTTCGAATTCGTTAGTGTTGAACTTTTTATTGTCATCTGAGGTACGTAGTACTTCGCGCGATGACCGAAAATGGAAAGTCATCTTTGTCCGAAATGACCGAGAGTCGTTGCATCTCGTTCTACGCGAAAGGTCTATGTCACCCCCTTCTTTCCCACAGTTGTCGCGGAATCCCACATGTTAGTTCGTTGACCAGAACCGAAGACGTCAGAAAACGCTTCCTTCAACCGTGACCCCATTTATTTCTTGATGTACGGATAATTACCTTCTATGCATGGCCTTCAGCTTACGCTCCTGGACCGATCCCTAATCGAACAAAAACATTGAATCAACATTGATACAATGTTGATTCCTTCTTACATGCTCCTAGGGATGTCGCTGCTTACGATGCGATCCGTTGGAGGTGACTTGGAGGTGCGGCGGGTGACGCAGCGTGCCAGGGACCCGAAATCTGCTCGAATTCCAGTCAGTTTCTCGTGCTTTCTCATTCCTATCCATTCAGTTATTACATTTTTTCTCTTTTTTTTTTCAAAATACAATTCCTCTGGGTCGCTTTCATTTCTATATGGTGACAACCATGCCTATGTTAATCGCATGATTGAGTCAACATTCGGCAACTTGTTAATACACTTGAGCGTCTTAGACACCAGTCAATGGATTGCAAGGAAGAATGTCAAAACAAGTTCCTTTTCGAAAAAAAGTCAAATAGTACAGACGGATGATCTTCATTACGAATACTTAATTAGCAGACGTGGTCATTCCCGTGTTCAACGTGGATCCTTTGAACGTCCGCAAGCCATTCTTCTCGTTCTTCCTGGTCTTCCAGCGTGGCGTCGCTGCTCGTAGCTGGCTTTCGGCGGAAGATGTGATTCGCAGGTCAGTAGATCTTGAGGCAGCGAACCAGCTTTTCTCTTCTGTCTGGGACCATGAAGCAGTAGAAGATGAAGATACCGATGCCCTGGAGAAAAACGGAATCCACAATGCACGTCAAAATAAAGCACTAAGCACAACTCTTGGCTAGGGATCTATCATCCATAACTATGAGTACATTGGCATTTTCCCATTGAATGCATGCAAGTATAATGTAATCAGCACGACGTCAGCAGAAAATCCAGCTCCTGACGTCTATACTGCTCACAATTTGCTTCATGGTGCGCGTGATTACCGGCATTACATTCATTTTGCCATTTTATAGGCGAATTACGCATTTCGGAATGGTAAATGAAGTTGGTCTGATGATATTGTGGTATGGAATTATGACGCATGAGCATATCGTCCTCATTACACACGGTTCTTGAAAGGATATCCACTCTTGTTCCATTTCAAGCAGCTTTCAAGCATTTGGCAATATTATTTTTTTTGGTATCGGTTCCATTATGATAAAATGCCCAATAATACCTATAGGAAGATGGGAGGCCTTTCTCACCCACCCTCATTAGAATAGACCGTCAATAATTCTTGATTAATTCAACATTTCGTTTATGAGTATAATGCATTCTTTGTCCTGAATCATCGAGCCAGAAAGCAAATCGAACTTTGAACGAAGACGTTTCGGAGGACAGAGAACATCAAATTCGTTTTATTTTTTCCTAGCTATGACAAATATAAGCAAGATTGCTGGAAAGGGTTGCATTTGAAATGTAATGCATCCTAAGATGTTTTCTCAGACGCATCCTAGGACGCTAATAGGGAAGGGAGAATAGGGAGAATAGGGAAGAATAGGGAGGCTAATAGGGCTCCTTCCTCTCCTATTCAACTGCAAAGAAAATAATATCCAGGAGCCTTCCCCTTACTTGCGAGCAGCCAACAACGACGAAGGAGTAGGCGAAAACCGGCGAGACCTCCATCTGCAGGACCCCCAGCAACCATCCGCAACCGAGGAGACACACGAGGGAGAACACCCGCACAGCGCTGCTTCTGCAACACATTTATGCATACTCTGCCATATTGCAGAAATGGATAGAGCGAAGCAAGAACTTCCATTCAAACTTACACAGAATTACTCTCTGCCTGATGTTTCTGCATCCCATTAGGAACCCTCCCGACTTTCCTCACCTTACTGAACACCCAAATAAGGAGAATGGAATTGGCACCGACGACCAACAGGACTGGAGCCGCAAACCCCCAGATGTAAGCAGGCGAGGACAGCCAGCAACTACGTCATGAAACAAGGAGACACTCGCATATTCAAAATGTTGAAAATGATATCTCGTCAGAATCATGGCTAAGAGGAATTACAATGAGAAATTAATGACGAAAGACAGAAAATGAGTATCAAATATTGGGTATTCGAGTGATTCCCATCATTGTCAATCTCGTTCAAGTCAGATTGCCAAAACCTTCCCCAGCGAGCAAAATGAACTTCTCCACAAAGCTCCCCACAGATGCACGCCGAACACTTTCATAGAAACGAAGCATATGTAAATGGCCTTATTTTTCCTTTGACCTTATTTAATTGCCAAAAATTGTGAAGTCTCAACTTCGACAACACAATAGTTGTGCACGCAATACCATAACCTCACCCATGGCACACCATATCACAGTGCAAGAGAACATCTGCACGACACATTTGTCATCCTTCTCACCAATCTACGTACTTATTACCAAGAGACAGAAACACTTTCCCGAAGCGTATTGAGAATAGTAGCATTGCTCACAATTCTCCCTCTCCGTAATAGCGAATCCCAGTCCCAAAGGACACACCAACCGTGATAGCCACAACCCCCACCGGCACGGTGTACCCGACCATGAGATAGAATCGAAGCGAGAAGCTCCGTCTCTGCACCATTTGCAGCTTGCTATGCAGGTGCCACCCTTCCAGAGCCATCCAGGTGAAGACGNGTTGCTTTTTAATGCTAGATTTTGTAGTTTTTCAAATAGTTTGACCCATTATTCACTAGTCGATTATTACTACTACCTCTTCTATTAATAGTCGATGCTACCAATTTGGTTTTAAAATGCCATATTCGAAGACCTGGTGCTGAAAGGATAAGTTAAAGAAGAAGCAGGATCAAGCGCACTTTCGAAACACATTTCTTAACTCTTTTAGTACAATATGTAACATTATATAACGAAATTCGTAGCGTCAATTTCATAGACTCTGGTGCTAAAAGGGGATAAATAATTCCTATTTTATTATTAGAAACCATAATGCATTAAAAAGTGTTAATGCGCATTACCCCTATCTATATTTCTTGCAAAATTTTCTACCTCGCCTATAGCTGTATTCAATTGACAAGCGTTCCAATATGCGCTTACGAAGATATTCCATTGAGGCCATGTAGAGACTCACCTGGTCCCAGAAAAAGTCCAGAAGTCCTTCTGGTTCCATCGTTACATTCGGCGTCCCTTAAATAAGAGAAAGGAGCAGTTTCTCACCATATCGCAAAAAAAGAAACATGTCTAGCAAAAATCCTATGATAGGTTATGTTGAGGAGTCTGCCTTGAATTGAGAGAGCTGCTTTTGCCTTAGAAGATCAAAAATATTTTAGAGTTGAATCCAAGAAAGGAACCGACCCAGGAAGCTCACCCTCGCCCTCTATAGTTCTTCGGAATAGACTCCAAGGTTTTAATTTTTTAAAAGGTAAACTTAAGTTCATTGTCTTTCCTAGAATCCTGACGGTCTCAGCTGGGGGGATAATCCTCGAAGTGCAAGTGATCAATGCAGAGACACTTTGAAAAGGACAGCTTCTTTGATACGGTGGCACATTCCAGCGGGGAGATTGTCGAGTTTCGGTGCCGGGAAGCTGCTGCACTGTCGGAAGCGTCGCTGATTTACTGTTTCAACGTCTCCTCCTGCGTTTCTTTTGACCCTGCCTAAGATTCAATTACAACGATGAATTAACCACGTACCTCGTGAGTCATTCCATACGTACTCGACCAGGCAGGGCTCTCGACCATGTCGGATTTCAGATGAAAATTATCAGCGATTGCTGTCAATCTAACGACTCCGTAAGAAAAGAATGGGCTCCATCGCTCTACAGTTAACGAGATATCGCCCCTCAAACTCTAGGGAAAAAGGGAAAAATCCCTTGGACTGCAAATTTTTCACGTCAGGAACCATTCATCGGACGAAGGCGTGCCATAGCTTGAATCGGAGCTATTCCACAGATAAACATTTATCTTCATTTATCCTTGGAGGTTCAACGAGATTTCAGCATCATATACTGTAGTACGAAAATATGGAATTTAGGCGATTTTGACCATAAAATTTCCTTATGCGGCAAGGGAAAGGGCATATCTCTCGTTACAGTTAATTGTACTCCACTTTCGATTGCATCGAAAGATGGTTACTGTTTGACTTTTTGTCCGCTATAATCGAGAAAAATGTATCTTAAACTTTGAATTTTCTCATTTTTGATCATTGGTAGAGTATTTTTCAGTGTTTTGTAGCACTTACGGTATCATGGGTAGTGTCTCCAAGAAGGTGAGCCGGAGATATTTTAAACGATATATAATTTGGATTGGATTTTTTTTAAGAAAAAAAACAAAGGAAAAAATTTTAAAAAAATTTGTCCCTTTGAAACTCTAAGAGTTTATAGTTTAAACTATAGGGAAAAGGAACAGATCCCTTCTCCTGACTGAAACTGTAGGATTAAGTCTCTTCCTGGTATCCTTGCACGGATATTCCCGCAACTCGGGCTGGTTCAGCAACGTGAATTGTAAATTGATGCTATTTTCCATCTCCGATACTGTTAGTGTTGCAGATGTTATCAATCGAACCGCTCCGGGAAATTTCTACCATATATGAAAACTACCCAACCCTCCGCACTGGGGTCGAAAGCTGGCACCTCTCGAAATATCCTAGCGGTCTTGGAGGTTTTGGCCGCTATGCTGGTAGAGACAAAAAAAGCGTTGATTTATGCTTCGACCTTAGGTACAAACTTGTGGAAGGTCTGGGTAACAGTTACGCAAATATCTGCGAAAGGAAATCAGTAAGAGACTTAATCCTTCAGTTCAAGTCAGGAAAGGAGCCTGTTTCTTTTCCGGGAAAATTAGAGTGGATTTTTGAACAGAGAAATATCCGATGATGCAGCTTCATTTCCAGGAAATATAATGTATTTTCCTTGGAATAAAGCTGCATTATCGGATAGTTCTCTGTTCAATAATACACCCTAGATGGAACTCTTATGGTTTGTACGGGTCGTTCAGTGAGCAAAATACGAAACTCTAAAAAATTATGCAGAAACATAATGTACGAACCGAAGTCATACGAAGCTCTGAGAGACCATTCTAGGGATATATTACACGACTGTGTCCAATCGCTCCACCAAAAAGTAAAAAAGTAAAATTTTTTGTGTACGCAATTCTAGGCATATTCTTCCTTGCTTTTATTTTTTTTTTCAAAAAAAGTACTCCAAAGTACATATCGATTAAAATATATCCGGCTCACCTTCCTGGAGACACTACCCATGATACCGTAAGTGCTACGAAATATTGAAAAATACCCGACAAACGATGACCAAAAATGAGAAAATTCCAAGTTTGAGATACATTTTTCTCTATTATAGCGGACAACAAGTCAAATAATAACTTGCTACATAGATGGAGTCGAAAGTGGAGTGCACGTTATTGTAACGAGAGGTATGCCCTTTCCCATGCCGCATAAGGAAATTTTATGGTCAAAATCGCCTAAATTCCAAATTTTCGTACTTTATGATTTTGAACCTCCAAGGATGAATGAAGATGAATGCTTATCTATGGAATAACTCCGATGCAAGCTATAGCACCGATGAATGGTTCGATGGTCCGATGGTCCGATGGTCCGATGAATGGTTCTTGAGATGAAAAATTTGCCATCCAATGGATTTTCTCGTTTTCCCCAGAGTTTGAGGGGCGATATCTCGTTAACTGTAGACGCAATGGAGCCTTTCTTTTTTTTTTTTTACGGATGGAGATTGACAGCAATCGCTGATAATTTTCATCTGGAAATCCGACATGGCCGAGCCTTGTTGAGTTCGTATGGAATGACTCTCGTACATCAAGTACTTCCGAGTTTAAAGGGGTTCGAGTCAGAAAATATGAAAAATATAAAGGGGTAAGATGACGCCTGAAAATGGTTCGGAAAATTGCAAGATCACACGAGCCATTTCTAAGCAGCAGCGATTAAATGCATCATCACACAGGATCTTTCGCTGAGAAACTGTTGGAATGGTGTCTGACGGAACTGGGAGTAATAAAATGAGCGGGGCCGAGTACAAGTGGAGATCGTGGATGTGCAGAAATAATAAGTTTCCACGGGAGTTTTCATTAGTATCCTCTGTTGTTTTTCCCCTTTGTTTCTCCCAATCTCCTAATCTGATAATTTATCACTTTTCCCTTGCGCCCAGGCTGGCTACTTAATCTCTATTCTAGGAGCCTAATATGAGTCATGTTTGTAAAGAAAAAAACCAATCACTGCTTATTCATACTTCCGTAATTATGATAGAGTTAGGCTTATATTATCGTGCGATTCTCATAGAAATGCTTGAAATAAATAGAAAGGGATACCTTCCTTCTTCATGATATAGGAGATCCTGAAAAGGTCGATCGGATCCATGGCGACCAGCATGCTAACCCAGGCAATTTTGGATGTCACTTTCACAGTCACATTCTGTGTCACAGGGCCGTTAAATGAAGCCAATTCTGTGTCTTCAGGTCCTAATGGGAAATCGTCTTTGTATCCATAGCCAATTCTCAACAGCAGGCTTCCATCTTCAATTTCCCCAAAATCCTCAGGCGTCAGTAAGATCTCGATCGTGTCGATCCCATCGTTCCCGACGATGTTCCACAGGCATCGCTACGCGTTAAAAACAATATGTTGTAATTTTGACTGAAGACAGAAAAAAGTCTGGAGATGATGGAGGAATATACGATCATGATGAAAGTATCCGCTAATATTTTACCAAAACCCACACGTGCGCCCGCACACAAGTACAAACAAGCTCACACGCTGAAGCTTACCAGCAAAATATCTTTCTAAAAAAAAACATACTTCCACAAAACGTCGCTCAGCAAAGGAAATAACCCTCAGCTCAACTAGGGCGAAAAGATAATCACCATGAGGAGAATGGGCACACTATTCTCTGAACAAAATGGCGATTCTAATTAAATTTGAGACGAACGCCTCAACCCTTTGGGGTATGAGTATTTCGAATGCGTGAGCGCTGTCATCCAAGTTTTTCCTATTCGTCATCATCAGGCCAACACGCGATTGCTCGGGCGTGGATCGCAAAAAGGTTACGATTTGCCATTTGTACACGTGGATGCGGTGAAGATGTGAGTATCCCATATTAAAAGAGTGGTCGGTACAGTAGCACTCACAGGAACTTCTTTTGGCACTATTGGTGAATAATAAATTAAGGAAACAATCAAAAGTGCTAAGTTGTAGAAGGCTCTCAGCAAAAGAGTAGGGCTACAGAATATATCGTTTCGAAGTATGCGGTCGAGGTGGCGGTGAGCCCTGAATACATTACGCTCTGCCAAATTTCGATATCTTGATTCCTGCGGATGTAATAGAAGAGCAGGAAACTACCATTTAATCCTCGTAGTGATAAGAATCAAACAACGATAAATTGTCTGGCACTAAAAGGGTTAGTAGAAACTTAGCTACATTAAGCTGAAAAGCAATCAATTTGAGAGTGGTGCAGTACCGATGACGGAACCCAATCGAGAGAAGTCAGTTTTGCCTAAATTACGAGGGGCATTCTGAAAGTTCTAGGAATTTCTGTATAATTTCTAGGTAACTTCTTTATTCATCATGTATTATTGTAAAGTATTATTGTACTTTTCAACATTGTCCCCCCTGAGTTCGGCGCACTTCCCCCAGGGTTGAATCAGTTTCCTTTGAGCGTAAGAAAAAAATTTCTGGAGTGTTTCTGATCCACCTGTTCAGCGCAGCTTCCATTGCAATGAGGGAATGAAATCGCACTGCTGTAGGTGCTTTAGGAGGTGTTAGCCGTAATGGCTAGAATGAGAGACGACCAACACTCAGCTGCACGTAGGGAGCTTAGGGCCGCTCAGACCACTTGACAGCAAGAGGCAGCGAATGCGGAGCACAGCATTCGCTCAGCATTCGCGTCAATACGAGAGCCGTGCAGTCTGCAGAGCAACTTGATGCAAGGAACGCAGCACTCGGGTGTCGAGAGCCATAACACACGGAACTCGGGACATTTTCTCATGCTTTTCCATGTCATCTGAATAACTAGTCGTTTGTCACAGCGAACATTGCCAGGCTGTACATTTTGCTGTAGGGAGGGGGCATTTGTTTCACATTGCTGTCACAACGGAAAAGTGCTCCTGCTGAAACTCACACTTTACCCTGAGGCTCTGAAAGTGTTGCTCACTTGTGCTAATGCGGCGGCGAGGCATTTTCAGGAATCATTCGTTAGCATTGTGCCGCACATGCGCTAACTTCCTTCTGTGCTAAAGTCGAGCAAGCTCTTGGAAATGGCCCGTACTGTTTCAGAATCAGTGGTATATGCACCATAAGCTAATGGTGATAGCCCATGAGCTAATCGATGATGCAAGAGTATTGAATGTGCTGGTACGACAAAATCAACAAAGTCGTCATGAGTCTCATGAAAACCATTTAACCGAGGCGTTCACAAAGGCGATTGTGGCAATGAGCTCGAATATCATGATGATGGTGCTTAGGAACAAAATCTCCCTGTATACCGTAAGCTGTATGTGTATAAATCTAATGAAGCGGTTCTGTTCCAAATGGGAAATGCGATGAACAGAGGATGTCAAAGAGACGTTATGCTCACAATAGGCGATTCAAATTTCTGCCAATTAGACGGCGGCCGCTAGTATAATAAAATCGACCATGGTCCGTGATGGTGGTGGTCGTTGGCATGCGCGCGCACCCATAACACACGTGTGCGCTCAGCGTGATTGCGTGTGCTCTCCCCATTGGGTCTTCTGCCTGCCTCTGGGTGTACATCTCCCGCTCTCTGGTAACAATTTCTTTCCCGGCCGTTGTGACAGTCGGATCTATTCTCGAAAACGTAATAGCCCCTGGGGAAGGGGGAGAGTTCGGATGACATAAGAGGACGAAAAGAAAACGACGGAGAGAATCGAACCCGGGGCGCTTTGATGCTAGCCAAGTGGGCCACCAATACACCACCGAATCCACGACGTTACAGTAAGCCTCTCCATGCCATCCCTAACATTACAACGGGAGTGAGAGGCATTCTTCGCACCGCCCCCCCCCCCTCCGCTCCCAACTTTGGGGGTCGATACGAACTTCTCCGCAGTGATGTGTGAAACGTCCCCGCGTATAATACTTTAAGTCCCCTTTCATCTCTGGAGGTAGGATTACTTTCTCGCCGGTATGAGATCTCCGTCCATATATTTATCGGGAACCCGAACCCCTTATCAATCGAAACCCCGTCCCTTTATTGATCGGCACTAACAAGGTGAGTGACTCCCGAGGGTGAAAATGGCGGGATCCCACATGTATGGCACAGGAGCGCTTACACTTGGATAAGAAAGACGACGTCGGCGGCGTCGTAACCATTCAGTTTCTCTATCCACAATTTATCGAGTGGGCCTCATTTTCCTGGCCTTCTTTTGATGAGAATTCTTGGCCTACGAAGGTGATAACATTAGGCTGCCCTTGCATAACCACAGTCGACCAATTTTACACCAGGTCTAGGGCATGAAGTCAAACGAACTTTAATTCTTTTGACAAAGTGAACGTTGAAAGGCAAACATAGGCTAAAGGTGACGAAGGGCGAATACGAGGTGCATGGTAAAGGTGTTGGCTGGTCTTAGCAGGGCATGCTTTCGTATTCAGTAGGGCTGCTCCAATAATCCCTTGGTACCTGCTCTTTTACTCCGCCATTGCGCACTGCAGGCCCACTTTAAACTCCATGAATCACTTAGTACGTGAATCGAGAGTGTGGCGACCGCTTCCTGCGGCCATGTGCGCATTCATTGCCTTTAAATACTTACGTGCTTTTGCCCCGGGCTACCTACTACATATTATCAATTTGCAATCCCAGAAAACCATAATCATAACCTTCCTCAAAGAGGGAACAGTTCGATCCTTCAAAGGAGGTGCTTCTTCAGAAGGAATCTTTAGCCACTCCTTAGATGTTGAATTTGGTCTCGGGATTGATCTAGGGAAGCTACATCTCATCTACAGCGATAATACGGTAGAAAAAACTCTCCTCGTATTCTTAGCAAAGTTGAAGCAGCTCTCGACACGTTTCCATTCGATCTACCTATTGTTCAGGCCCCAACAGGCGAGGCAACCCTCTTGGCAGAAACCTTCGTCATACCGAGATGTTCATGGAGAATCTCATGAGCCTTGCCGGTGCTGATCCCCAGGGTAGTAGCAAGCTCCTGAACGGTAACTCGTCGATATTTCATTAGAATATTTTCCGCAACGTGAATTTTTTCATCGTTGGTAGCCGTTCGAGGGCGACCGCTGCGGGGGTCGTCTTCTACTGTCTGGTGACAATACTTAACCGGGTCCAACCATCGGTAAAAGTTACTCGTCGATTCAGGAGATTCTCCAAAGACAGTCTGCAGCGTCTGAACGATCTCAGAACCGCGTGCAGTTTCGTTCCACAAAAGGAAAATAATTGCTCTCTGAGTTTTCACCGCGTCTTCCATGGCTTCGAAAAGTACTACTTATCTGAGATAAATAACTCTGCTCGGGAGATTATTCGGGTAACAGTACTGAATTCAATAATAAGCAAGGTTAGCCTCATCCAAAACCTCTAGTCAGAAGAGATTAAGCTCGATTGCCTTTTGTACCTTGATGAAATTCCCAGAACTTTTTGAACGTCCCTCGTACTCCCTTCTATTCTGAACTACCATCAATGAAATTAAAGAAGCATTTTTATGCGTGTGATAACGTTTTCTCATAACATACCTGAAATGCAGGAACTAATCCCTCGGTATTTACGCAGGGTTCAAGAAATCCCGTGCTCTCAGTCAGATCCTGTTTGCATATTACCATCGGATCGCAGAGCGTCGTCGTGGGATCAGTAGTGGTCCCTGTGACCGAGGAATCGGTATCGGAGGAACTTGAGATTTCAGTAGTGTCAGTTGTGATGTCGGTTGTTGACATCGTGTCGCATTCTTCCTCTGGAAAATAATGAGCAAGCATGAAGTTTCACTTATACGTCAGGGGTAGACAATACCAGGTAGCCCCCAAAAGTTTCGAACTTAACACGCCTGTAGACGGAATCTTCTACTTACATAACGACCTTCAGATTTCTGGTTGACCGGATTTCGTCAAGTTTCCCAACTCCTCCCAGGTTTCTCTATCTATTTCCATTAACGATAGCTCATTCGTTCTCAAATTTTTTGTAGATGTAAATTTATGTTTAACTTTTAGCTTTAGCTTTTGCTTTTAGGTTTAGCTTTTTTCAGATTTGACCTTTGACCTGACCGTGATGGCCTTTCAAATTAATTTTGGACCCAAATTCCTGTGTATCATTTGAAAGCCTTTGATTGCCTCCGTTAGAATTCGTTTTTTTAATTGTAAAAGTTTCCATTCCATCCTGCTGTGGTAAATCTGAGTTGAGAGTGCAATGGCGACGTGTACAAACTGCTTCGAGACTCTCGTTGGTTCCCGGTTTTCTACACCTGACTTCTCGTTGAAGCTCACTTTTCTTCTCAGTTGTGCTGAGAAGCATTCGTCATTCTAATCTCCCGCGAATCCAATATCATTTTTACTATTGGCATTAGTACAATTTTCATTCAAGAATGGTGGTTACTTTTTCCTAGGGAACAGATAAGAGAGAAAGGAAGCAAGATCCCATGACATGTGAGACCTGGGCTTGTTCCTCGCCCCTGCTAATCTAAATATAAATCTGAAGCTAAAGCTAAATCTAAATATAACTTTGATCTGAATGGATTGAAAAATCAACCAAGGGAGTCTACTGTTCGTCATATCGGGGGGTCTTGTACAGGGTATTGGGAAGGGGCCGTTGAGGAAAAATCGAAATTACCAATCAGAACCGGAGAAAGGGACATTCATGAACTGTGGCGCAACAGAAAAAGGGGGGGGGGGGGGCTGAGAAGCCCTGGGAGCCTGAGAAGCTCCATCTTGAGACTTCTTGAGACGTGAAACCCCTTTAAGACCTGCATCACAGATGTATCTAGTATATATAGACGAACCTGACTGACTGACTGACGCTAATTCTAACCATGTTCTAGAGAAGCTAGAAATCGGAAATTTGATACACAAGTAGCTATTGGGATGCAGAGTTCAGAAAAAATCCAACTTTGGAGGTACATGCCCCATGGGACATTTCAGAGGGGACTGATTTTACGAGTCTGGGCCCAGCCCTCTCAGACGGAGGAAGACCTACGCCATTCTCATGCACACATTCCTTCCCCTGTTATTGAAGGAAGTGTGTGTAACTGCTAGGTTGTTCACCCAGGAGGAATTCCGACTTCGGGGGGGGGGGGGGGGATATGCCCTGGGGACAAATTTTAGGGGGGGGGGGGGGGGGCCCTGGGANCCTGGGGACAAATTTTAGGGGGGGGGGGGGCTGATTTCGCAGGCCTAGGCCTAACCCATGGATGGACACTTAGGCCAATATTCTCATGGATTCTCTTCTTCAAAGGAGGCGGGATGAAAAACAAACAGCTATTGGTTCGCATACTACAGGTAGTTCGACATTAGAGGAACGTGCCCGGAAGGGCCTGATTAAGCAGGCCCATTTAAAACCCTTGCATGGACGCTCAGGCATACATCGATCTTCATTCATTTGTTTAGAGGACCTTTTCGGCCTTTTTGAACGGAAAACTCGCTGCCTTAGCATGCGGCGCGAAGTATTTGCCCTATGCCTTTCTAGGTCGTAGGCTAGGTAGGAGGACTTGGGTTGATGGGTACCGGTATGCTCGTGGATGCGAATTGGTTTAATATATATGTGTAGCAGGAAACGGCAAAAAAGATTTTCCCTCGACTTTTCGATTTAGAGTGGTCATGTCCAATGCAGGACGCTTAGACTAATGCCATTTCTGTGCTTACGCTTCGACTAAGCAGGAACATAAACAGCCATAAACTGCCTTCATGAATGACGTATTTTCTCTTGGTCAAATCTATGTAGCATTAGGTAGATTTAGAAAAAGGGATTCCATGTACTTGTGCCTAAATATAGATATCAAGATAATGAAAGAACTCCCCATACAGTGAACGTAGTCTATAAAGAGTTATTGCGTTAAAACTCTCAAGTGGCTCACGTGGTTCATGTGGCTGTTATTACTCACTTCAACTTTTTTTTAGAGATTGATATGAAATCAAGAGTATGTCGACCATAAACAGGAATTGAATACACCAATAGAACACTAAACGACGCACTGACAAATGTTACCTCGTGATCCTCATGCTACAAGTCACATGGCGTTACTAATAATGTAAGAACCAAAGGTGTGGGAATTGAACCCATGAGCAAAGGGGTTAGACCAAATTACTAGGAGTGAGCATGGAAAACGAATGCCTTAAACTGAAATGCATTAGTAATTTCCCTATGTCGCAGAGCGCCGAAGGCGCGTCAAAAGCCAGTATATGAGTATTTATTATATTTGTGCTCAATGATCTTGAACTCCCCTACAAATAAGCAATGAGAGTTCTCTATCGTCATCCCGATATTTAGACAAAATGTAGAAAAGGTTTGACCTGTTTAAATACTACGTATGTTCCTCTTTCGAGATAGTGATTAAACAAAAGGATGTGCGGTGAAAAGGCTTTTCACTTTTATGCTGCTTTTAGATTAAATCAAGTTTAGCAGAGGCGAGAACCAAGCCCCAGCCAGGCTGAACGTGATTCATGATCTAGACCTATTTCAAAGATCCATTGTAACCCATTCGGCACAACATCGGATCAAAATCGGCCGAAGGTTAAAATGTTGAGACATGGCTGAATTTGAGAATTCATCGAATAATAAGAAGAAATGAATGAAATGCCGGCTTTTCATAGTAAACCGAATTTTTTAGCATAAAGAGACTACACATGAATTAACAAAGTTGTTTAGAAGCTATGAAGTGAAACTCTTTTTTACATGTGCCTTCGTAATTTGTTTCAAAATGAAGTTACCCATCATCATCTCCACAGAGTTGAGTCTGTTATTTATGGTAGAGCTAAGTCAAAATCATCACGCGATTCTCACCGCAGTCCTTAGAAAGAAATAGGGAAAAAACAGACCATCATGAAATATGAAATAGGAGATCCTGAAAGGGTTCATCGGCTCCTTGAGGATCTGCATGCTAACCCAGGCGTCATTGCAAGGTATTTTCACAGTCACATCCTCCGTCATAGGGCTGTCAAATGAATCCAGTATGGATTCCTCTGTTACCTCTGGGAAATTGTCTTTGTATCCATAGCCCACCCTCAACAACAGGCTTCCATCTTCGAAATCCCCGAAATCTTCAGTTGTGAGTACGATCTCGATCAAGTCCATAGCATCGTATCTGAGGATGTTCCACAGGCATTGCTACGAGTTAAAAAACCAAATGTTTACAAATGTGACTAAATGCAGGGAAAGTCTGCAGTAGACTATGTGATATACAATCACGTTCATCATCATTTTACCTAAGCATGGACGTGCGCAGAGATATGTATAATCAAGCACCCACACACCGGAGCTTACATCAAAGATTTTATTACTCAAAGAACCTGCTAAATTTCCTGAAACATGCTTCAACTAATAAAATAGCCTATCAATTGAACCGAGGCTAAGAGGTAGTCATCCCCATAACGAAAATGGAAACATTATTCTCCGAACAAAACATCGGTTGCAATCGAACTTAAAACCAACGCATTAAGATTGATCTTCGACTAATGCAGATGCGTTGAAGATGTTGGTATCCCAAATTAAAGTGGAGGACAGTACATCAGCTCCTCACAGCATTTAAAAGTAAACCTGCTTTTCGAGGCTTTCAACAAAAGAGCCTATCAATATTTTACGCTCTTATATATCTATATCTCAATATTATGATTCTTCGGGATGCAATAGCAAAGCAGGAATCTACCGTTTCGTTCTCATAATGCTGAGAGCCTTCATCTCTCGTTTTCGCGCAAGGATCAAATAATGATGTATTTTCTGGCGCTAAAAGAGTTAATTGAAAATTTGCAGCATTTAGCTGAGGTGCATATAATTTGAAAGTACTGATGACGGTATCCTATCGAGAGAAGTCAGTTATGTGCAAAACACTTCCTTCCATTTGTAACTAACTACCATCAGTAAAACCAAGAAATCCCACAATTTTATTGCTGCCAGAATGTTTCCTTAAGACTTACCTGAAATGCAGGAACTTCTCCGTCGATATTTACGCAGGGTTCTAGAAATCCCGCGTGCCCTGTCAGGTTCTGTTTGCATTCTCCCATCGAATCGCAGAGCGTGGGATCAGGAGTGGACAATTCGATTCCTGTGACGAAGGGATATGTGTCGTCCGATGCGTAGGAACTTGTGGTTTCAGTAGTGTCCGTCGTGATGTCGGTTGTTGTTGACGCGTTGCATTGAATTTCTGGAAAAGAATGAGCGAGCGAAAATTTTCCATGTGCATCAAGCGTGGGCAATGCCGGGTAGCCCCACAAAAGTTAAAAAATGTACACGTCTGCAGACGGAATACCATAAAAGACATCGAGAAAAAAGGTACAGGATTTCGCAAGCTACATTTGCAGGCAATGTTCCATAATTTAAAAATTGAATTTGATATTGGCTAAATAAAGAAAAGTTTTTCTCCCAGTGGATGTCAAAAGAGCGACTGCACCAGGAAACGTGAATGACCTCAATTAAATAAATGTTTGATGGGTCCTCCACTGATGTGTCCTCCGGTCCTCGCCCCGAGGCAGTACTCAAGGCAAACGCACTGGCATACTATCTCATTTGACAACCTCTACAGAGAGAGTTATGCCTCATGTTCGGAGGAAGGAATTTCATTGAACTTTTCTCCTCAAACCGCCTACCAATTACGTATATGTAGGAATGTGAGAACCAAATTCAATGCTTTACCTTTCTTCGACCTCAACCCAACTCTCACACCACCCCCCCCACCCTTTCTTCGGGTCAGGCTCAGGCCTATCTTGTTTCGTTCAAATGAAACTCAATCCTCAGCCTACGGACCAATTAGGCTGATAAGGATGAATCACGTTACAATTAACGTAACATTAACGTTACACGTAACATTAACGTTACAAGTCCTGAACGAGGTGTCTGGAAGACACCTCGTTCAGGACTTGTAACGTTATGCAGACCGCAGGCATTTTCAGTTTCTCATGGCCCACTTAACAACGTCTAACATTAGATCGAATGTAGGTCTTTTTCGAGTTTCATGAGCCATTTCAATGCGATCGGGGAACATGTCATGTTCCTCGAATCGTCTCGTCTATTTCTGAGAAGAAAATGCCATGACAAACGAGTTGGCCGCCATCATGCTAATTTAAGGATATCCGATGAGATGTATCTCCGTATTCCACCAAATCCATCGGCCACTGCAAAACACCGCTTCAATCTCAGCCCATGAATTCAGCGCAGCAATGTTTCCTAAATTAAAAAGAGAAGATCCAGACAACGATACTAAGGCTGAAGGAGCCATGAATGGAACATAACGCCGGCATGATATCCAGCAACACCGCAGGACGGGACCGGAGCCATTGCGCTAATCCTAAATTAACGGCATCTAATTTCATTTTTTTTAATGGCGAAAAAGTAAACTGAAAGCAGAAAAATGAGACTTTTTGTCACCTCCATATCAATATCTTTGATTTGGTCGTTCAATTTCTCCGAAAACTGCCCAGGAGTGGCTACCCAGTGGGTGAGAAAAAAATACCAGAACGAAATTACATCTCCCAACAGCGAGATTCAGTGTTCTCCGCAACCCCGGGGAGATGTAGCATCAAATTTGTTGGAGCGATTCTATGTTGAGAGAGGAAGAAGCACACCAAATTTCGTTCCTGTTGCTCTCAGAGAGGAATACGAGACGGTTGAATTTTGTCGCCGGAAGGGGTTGAAGAAAGGTAATGCGCACTTCCACACCCATTGATGACACCCTTGAAAATTCAAGCGATACATAAGAAGGTGAGCAGTGTGCAGACGCATGATTTTCTAGACTTTTTTGGCCATTATGCATTTTCAGATGTGGTAGCTCCTTGTGCTACTTGTGAAATAAATGGTGGCCACTTGTGACGTATCCCTGGAGCATATAAGTCCCAAGTACTGACCTGTTGACTAAGAGTACTTGGATTTAATTTCATCGCATTGGGAATCAACATTTTTTAAAGAATTTCTGAGTTCACAAATGCCGGAAATTATTCGTAAGTTCCCGTACTTACGTAGCGATCGACCTCTTAGTAGGAACACTTTCATGGTGGAAATCATCAAAACAATGGCAGGCATTGACAGCACACCTCTGCAACCACCTGCAGCAATTCCTGGGCCTTCTTTAGACGCTGGGAACAAGCTGGAACACCTACCAGGTCGGCAAGAACGCCTGTGTGCAGTATGCGGGGGCATGCAAAACAAGATGTGCAAGCCCAATCCAGTAGTGGACCTCCTTTCATTTAAGGAAATCCGCTTTTTGTTTCCCAATTGAACAAAATGCCATTTGAAGCACTAAAGTTGTGCATATCGTCTTACCGCGTACATTGAAAAGAGGGAAACAGAATGTCAATAAATGCATCCACAGTTAAACGATAATTTCTCCTTGGTGTCCTCGATGAAGTTATAACCGAGTTCGACTGTAATTTAAAACCTTTCTCTTGAAGATTGAAAGCGAATGGAGGGAATACGTAGTGCACTGGGAAATAAGTATGTGCTGTATGGTGCACAGACGATCGCGAGTGAGAGACTGACGTTAATCCTGACCATGTTCCATAAGTGATAAAAGCCTGAAACTTAGCACACGAATAGCTGTTGATTGCTGACTTCAGAAAAATTCCAACTTCGTTGGTACATGCCCTGGGGGCACATTTGGGGGAGGTGGGGTTGACTTCGAAGGGTTAGGCCCAACGAATGAGTTATGTGTTTCACGCAGGGAAACGAGCGCGATAGTTTTCGGTAGACTTTATGATTATGTTTGCATATACCCAATCTACTTGCGGATGCTTATGCAAATGCAATTTCTATACATACTTCCTTGAACGGGAACATGAATATGTTCGGGCTGCATTTGCAAAATGACGTGTTTTTCGATTGAAGAGAGTGTGAGTTTCTATACCAAAAGGGTAAACAAACTCGTCAGTATTGCAAGACCATTCGTGAAGCAAGGCCTAATGAGGCCGACGGGTTTTGATGGGTCAGGAGAGCCTGAAGGCATGGATGGCTTCTCGCAGTCGCATGTAAACCCAGGCATCATCACAAATAATTCCAAATCCAAATCCCATCTCCCCTTATCATGCATCACAAAGAAATGCTTATATTCGCAGCAGTCTTAGTAGGCAAGTCTAAGAGTCTCGTTAGGTTTCTGGGTACATGCCCGCCCATGGCGTTAAGATCGTGCATTCGAATGCGGATGGCCTACATTTGTACTACCGGGGATAAGTCTTTAGCTGAAAAAGGTGAATATTCCAAAATTTTCGTCCCCGATGGAATTGCATCATTTTAGAAGAAACCATTTCTGTTTAGAAATGTTGATGATGGAAGCATAAAACCGTTGCAGTTGATTCGTTCTTCTGTTCTTTATGGTAGAGCTAAGTTAAAATTATCATGCGATTCTTACTGCAATCCTTACCAAGAAAAAGGGAAAAAAAACAGACCATCATGAAATGTGAAATAGGAGATCCTAAAAGGGTTGATCGGCCCGTTGCGGATCAGCATGCTAACCCAGGCGTCATTGCAAGGTATTTTCACAGTCACATCCTCCGTCATAGGGCTTTCAAATGAATCCAGTACAGTTTCATCTGTTGCCCCTGGGAAATCGTCTTTGTATCCATAGCCCACCATCAACAACAGGCTTCTCTCTTCGAAATCCCCGAAATCTTCAGTTGTGAGTACGATCTCGATTAAGTCCATAGCATCGTATCTGAGGATGTTCCACAGGCATTGCTACGAGTTAAAAACCAAATGTTTACAAATGTGACTAAATGCACGGAAAGTCTGTGGAAGACTGAAAGGCATTCAATCATGTTTAAAGCGTCCGCCATCATTTTACAGAAGCACTCACTTGCTCAAAGACACACGTACAAACAAGAACGAATAAACGGGAGCTTACACTACAGATTTTATTTCTGGAAGAAATTAATGAACTTCCCTGAATCATGCCATAGCAAACAAAATAGCCAATCAACTAAATTGAGGCTCAAATGTAGTCATCCCAATAGCGAAATTGGGGTTAATCTAAAAAAAAATGGAGGTTCCAATCGAACCTGAAACGAACGCATTAAAATTAATCCTCGACACATGTGGATGCGGTTAAGATGTTAATATCCCGCATTAAAATAGGGATCAACTCCAAACTGGATTTTCTTTTACCACAATTGATTAAGGAAATTTTCAGGCAACTAGGAAAAAACGTTTCTGCTGAAGGCTTTCAACAAAAAAGAGCCTCCTAATACAATACTCTCTGCTATATCTGAACGTCAAGATTATTGGAGAAATATTGGGCATAGCTGGTAAATACCGTTGAAGAGATGGGAGTGGTTATAGACCTTTAAGATATTGAGCACTTCATATTAAAAAAATGACTTTTCTTATAAGATGCTGGACATATCATTTAACTCTCTTATAGCCCAGAAGCTCTTTCCATTATTTTCGTGCGATTAGTCAATGACATATCGTTGTCTGGCAAGAAAATGAATATTGGAAAGTTTTTCCAAGTTGAGTAAGTTATATTTACCTTGAAAGTGGTGCCGTACAGATGACGATACCTAATCGAGGGAAGAAAGCAGTTACCCTCGAAATACCCCAGCTAATCTAAACTACTACACGAATATCTAAACAAAGGCACTATTTATTGCTGCAAAAAATTATTCATATGGCAGACCTGATACGCAGGAACTTCTCCTTCGGCATTTACACAGGGTTCCAGGAATCCCTGGTATCCTGTCACGTTCTGTATGCAATTTCCCATCGATTCGCAAAGCATCTTTTTGGGACTCGTAGTGGTCAATTCGGTTCCTTTGCCCGGAGGATCTGAATCCTCCGTTTCGTGGGAAATTGAGATTTCAGTAGAGACCGTCGTGATGTCATTTGTTGTTGACATCGTCGTGTTATATGGTGTCCCTGGAAAGAAATGACGAAGCTTAAGCATTCCTATGTAGGTAAGGGACGGACAGTGTTCTCAGAACTGATAGCGCTGTGAGTCATACGTTGGCCTCTCAGGATCCATGACGGAAGCGAATCGATCCAAAGGAGGCCTACTGCCCTTAAGGCAGAGAATTATTGTGTTTAATTTCATCAACTTCCCATTGGATATTATAGAGTTTCTGATTTCATGTTTATCGAAAATGATTCGCAAGCACTTTGTCGGACAAGTTTCATAGTTTTATTTCTCTCTTTGCACGAAGCACTGATGCATGGAAATAACGAGTAGCCGTTGTCAAAGAGGTTTTAAGCTCTCTACAACGGCTACTTGCGGATACTTCGTTTGTTTAAACAGGCTGTATTTCAAACATATTAGATCAAAGGCAAGGTGGCGAAGGGAAAATTTTCTAGTGTTTTCTAGTTATTCATTTTTTAATTCAATCGTGAGAGGGTTAAGAGAAGAAAATTGAGTTGCCGTAAATGAAGACAAACGGAAAATGCATTACACATTAGGATATCAGAGGATTTTTGAGTTAATTGGATTGCAACCTAGCTGTGTATCACTGAGTCGACAATGCCATTAGGTTTCAATGTCGTTTGAAAGCCACATGCGGTGGGATCCGTGGATGTTACTCGCACTCCTGAAAAACGGGTACACAAAACTCTCTATTCCTAACTGGAATTTCTCTCCGAAAAAATCGCGTTCAACTGCCCTTTTGTCCACCATCCATACTTGTGCCCGTTCAGAAGACAAGTCAGCGATCTTCTTCAGGTTTCTCTGCACATCAACGCCGATGGCGTTTAGATCGCGCATTTGCAAGCGGATGGCCTACACGTTAAAAAGGTGAAAATTCGTGCATTTTCGTCCGAAATAGAATGGCAGCCTTTGGAGCAAAAAATGCCAATTCAGAAAAGTTTAGGATGGATAAAAGCCTGTCACAGTTATTCGTTATTACATGTTCATGATAGACCTAAGCTCATATTGCCTTGAGATGCTCACAACAATCCTCGGAAGAAATCGAGAGGGAAACAGACCTTCTTTCTTCATGATGTAGGAGATTCTGATAGGATGCATCGGAGAGTTGCGGTTCAGCATGCTAACCCAAGCGTCATCGCAACTCACTTTCACACTTATATTCTCTGTCACAGGGCCATCAAAGGAAGCCAGTTCGCTTTCCTCATTTCCCGGTGGGAAATCGTCTTTGTATCCATAACCTATCTTCAACAACAGGCTTCTCTCTTCGAATTCCCCGAAATCCTCAGGTGTCAGTACGATCTCGATCGTGTCAACGTCATCGTTTCTGAGGATGTTCCACAGGCATTGCTACAAGTTAAAAACCATTTGTTGTAATTTTGACTAAATGCAAGGAAATCTCTCGAAGACTGAGCGAGGTGCAGTTAATTTCAAAGTGCACGATGGTGTACCATGATATTCCATGTACATCATCGTGTGCACCCACTCAAGCTCACCCAGGAAAACGACCCAAAAATGAATTCGCAAAACTTTTTTGAAATAGTTTAACTCAAAAAGTTATATTAATACGGACCTTATATTTTTAGATTTGTTAAAATGGTAAAAATAACTAAAGTAAAAGGAATAATCATAATTGAAGAATATCAGGAGACTAATTCCTCCATTCTTGTTCCATGACATTTCTCACGACAACTCCCTGGAAGAAATCCACCAACTAAGCAGTGTACAGCTTCGTAAAATATTCATTATGGAGCAAATTGTAACATTTAAACGAAGCCAATTCCGGGCCTGCCGGCGACTGTGCGTCCTGTGCCAAACATTTACGACATCGATACCAAATTAAAGGATGCTCCAAGAATGTTTTCTTAATTTTAAGGCTTGGTCCATTATGAAATTGGTTTGTTGTGAACTGGTTGGTTCGTGGATTTATTTCTGAGTATTTTTGTCTGAAATGTCTTGCTACAAGAAAAGGATGAGCAGTCTTTTGATCGTCTTCGACTATGAGTTTTCCCCCATCAGTTGGTTACACTATTTCAAGAAATCTGAGAAAAAAAGCAGTGGTTATAAGACAGTGTTTTTTTTTAGTTGCTATTTTTAATAATCTTTTTCTCAGAAGTATCAGAAGAAAAATAAGAATTTCATAAGGATGTGAAATGGTCTAAGATTTGTGCGCCACCCTGCATTTCTCATCGCCGAAATTGACCCCCTAGAATCAAAATCCTGTTGGGTGAAAACTCCTGTAAATTTACTGATAATACTTCATACGTGTTCTGGTTATAGGAATATTTTTGCGTGCTCTTTCTTAGCTATCCGCGCATGTGTTCCTATCTTCAGAGCCTTGCGTCTTTAAAATTGAAGAAGGAAACCGTACATTCAGGCAGAAGTTTTTTTTTAAAACTCACCTGATATCGAGGAACTTGTCCGGTGTCGTCGACGCATGGAACCAGGATTCCCTCAGTTCCTGTAAGATCTTGTTTGCAATCATCGCAGGACAATGGTAGCTCTCCCAGACCTGGCAAAATTCCAAAACCTCACAAGATGGAGTGATTCTCAGCGCATAATGGATGGACCAAGAAATTGTCGGTTGCATTAATCACTCCACAGCACAGGTTCCAAAAAGTTTGCTAACATTGCAATAGCGCCTCCTCGTAGGACATTCATTCAGCTTTCCAATGATGTCAAAAGAATTTGTCAAGTAGAGTTTCGATGAATTCATTTCCGTGTGCTGCCAAAGGTTCTTCTGAAAGGTTATTAAAGTTGAGCCGAATGTCGAAGTAAATTTTCTTCTCTCTAAGTAGTCGATACGAAAAAATCCTATAGAATCCTATGAGGTTCATTAAACTTTAATTAAGACTTGGAAGGGATTCTCTTGGGAATTGTATAGAGTTCTTATTGGATCCTATAAGATTCCTAAAGGAAACCTATGAGAATCCTGTTAGGTTTTCATGCGATCCTGTAAGGTTCTCATCCGATTTTTTAAATCAGCATTCAGTCCCTTCTCTTCCGCTGACGATCCCAGTAAATCTTCTTATCGTATTCCTCGCTTATCGCGAAGGAATGACCTTCGAAATCGGCGGGACATTTATAAAAGCAGGAAATGACTGAAAATCCGGACTGGAATGCACGGGCTGTGGGAGGCACGGGCGAGAATCGTTTGAATTCAACACTCACTTTTTCACCACGAGTTCAATATTTTTAATTTCATAGCTGAATCAGACCAATGACGATTCAGAATTGATGATGAGAATGCACCGAGAAGGAGCATCGAAGAGACCTTGCCTTCTCCTTCGTCTTCATTTGCCTTTTCCCTTTGCCTTTCACTTTTTTTTGGGCTGACTGGTGACCAATAAGAAAAGACCACTCGGGTCTTAGAGGATTTGCTGAAATCCTCTATTTGAAATCCTCATTTGCTGAAATTCCGGGTTCCAGCGCAATTATGCACATCCGAGATACATTTGGCTAAAAATCTGCGAGGATTTTGAAAAGTTAAGTTTAGCTATTACAGAACCAGACTTGAAAAATGAATGGATTCCGCTTTCTCACGCTCGTTCCTGTTTTTCATTTTACCAAAACCTCGTTTGGAGCTAAAATACTGCGTGCCGAAAATTATGATCGGATATTACGCTTCGAATTAGCAAAAATACAATATGGCGCCCTCATTCATGCAGGTGAATGAAGGTGGTTCGAATGCACGATGAGAACACGTGTGATTTGCGGTAACCCAAAGGATGAAGTATATCGAAGACTTGGGATGATTATTAGTCAAACCTGAGGATTTCATCAATTTCATGATCTTCATCAGGGTGCGAGAAATGTCCACTTCGCCATTACATCGTCCATCATACTGCCATTACAATGCCATTCCATGTACAATCGCACTGCGGGTGAATCGAGGAACGAAGAAGCGGGAAAAAGCATCTCCAAACACGATGAACGCCAGCTTTCGTTTTATTTGCTTCAGGCATTTGAATGGGCGTAGATATGCATTATTTCCTTATAGCTTTATTCTTCCCCCTCGGATATTTGCGCTGCGGAGCGTGTTGATACCTTGCGAACTGCTTGGAACTGAGCTGGAGAGACGGTGAAATTTCCGCGCCAAAAACAGGGCAGTAATTATTGTTCCCACTCAGACATTCTCCCAAAGATTTCCAGATCTCCCTCGGCTTGAGAGATGATGAACATGAAGAAGCCCTCCAAAATGGCCGGACGGATTGATATGAAGCGATATTTATCTTAGAAATCCTAATGCAAAAATCCAGCCAACCACGCCACGTAAAACTCCACATGCTAATTTTGGCACTGAATTTTTGGTGATACATCTATTGAACCGCTGTAAGCAATTTGATATTAATATCCGAAAGGCAAAATGACTAAATGAAGCACATTCTGCTTATGCCTCTTATTGCCTTCTTTATAGTTCCCCTTCATGCTCTTGTTCTGTTCCCCTTACGAAAATGCCTTATAGGAAGCTAAAGGAATCCTATAGGTTCCTATATGCCCCATAGAGTTCAGTTTCGGACCTATAGAGTTCCCTATAGAACCTTTAGAGCCCCCTATAGAATCAATAGGGTTCCCCATAAGGCCTATGGGTTCCCTATAGGACCCAAAGGGTTCTGTATAGGACCCATAGGTTCCCTATAAAACCTATAGGGTTCCCTAAAGGACCTGTACGAAACCCTATAGGCCTATAGGGTTTCGTTTGAAGTTCTCCTCTAGGCCACTAGTTGGAAGTATTAGGTTGTCGCATTTCTCGAATGACACCAAAATGCCCTCCCCTTACCCAAGGAATCATCTCTCACAAGAGAGTTTTGTACGTCCCTAAATGTCTCGCATTGCCTCATTGTAGCAATTAATAAACTTCGACAGTTCCCTAATGTCATCGCCATCTTCCAGATAGAATCATTGAGTCCAGTGAAGAAATATGCCCTAATTCATTTTGAAAACGACGTACGAAATTGACTCTATGAAAACGGGGGGTTTCAGCCCTTACGGAAATGTCCTATAGGAAACCTATAGACTTTCCTATAGGTTTCTGAAACACGAAAAACCTATAGGATCCTTTAGAATTCCTATAGGATTCCTATATATTCCTAAAGGAATATATAGGAATCCTATAATACATTTTCGTAAGGGAGGGTAAGGTACGTGCTCGCAGGTTCTCTCTTCTATTTCCTCAGGTCGAGTGAAGAGTACTATTTCTCTCAACCGAAGGAAATGGTCGTGCAATCCAACGACTATGTTGGGCGGAGCCGTAAAGTATGCAGACCCCCGCAGTACTGGTCTTAATAATGTATGTCTCCCTGCCATGAAAAAACCCTTAATTGGTTTTTGATTTGCACCCAAATGCTGCGCCAACATTAACCCCGGTCGCCCTTTCCGTCGTAATGCCTGGGTTTCGAAACCCAAAATATCTTCCCTGAATCCTATAGGTCAGGAGACCTATTAGACACAATAGGGATCGTATAGGATTCTAAAGGATCCGAAAGGTTTTTCGTGTTTCAAAAACCTATAGGAAAGCCCATCGGTTTTTTCTTATAAGAAATAACTATAGGTTTCCTATAGGACATTTCCGTTACGGCATGAATAGTGCCAAAATCGCAGGATGCACTTTTAACTTTTTGTTCGAAAGATATTTGCTTGCATTCAAATTTTATCCCATGAAAATGTTTGTAGTTTATGAACCGCATGTCCAGGAGGCAGTGCATGAGCATATCCTCATGCGCCATCTCCTCCTGTACTGCATATTTCGCCCGGAAGTCCAATTCGTCCATCTAAATTCCAGAGGAAGTCCATTTGATGATCTTTTGCTGCCTGATGTCCCACACGACAGGAAGCTGAAACTATCAATAGGTCAGTGCGAGGAAGTGAGGGATATGTCCGAGTTATCCCATTCATCTTTCCTCCTACCTTAAACGGTTCGGGCAGACGTAATCATCAGTCAGGAAATCAACTTTTGGAATTCCCCCCTGTACACTCTAGCCCCCGATTATCGACATGAGGTGAAACGAACAAATTAAGCAACTATCAATTAATTATCGGGTGCAGAAATTGGAAGACACCGACTTGGTACGTGTCGGTACATGTTGGCACATCTCACGATACTAGGAAAACTCCATGAAATTCGAACAAAGAAAAGAAGTGTCGATAAAGAAAGAAACTTACAGGCTCCAAGTAAGAGAACGAGAACCAGCGGACCGCCAAGAGACTTCATAATCCCATATGAAGTCGCGAAACCCGGGATCCCCCTTTCAACCTGGAGGACTCGCTTTGAAGTGGAGCCGCGAAGCCTCTCCCTCCTCGATAGTGCGATGACTCAGATGTCAAGTGGGGAGATATTCGTTCATTAGTGGAGTGACATTCCCGCGGCTGATTCAGATGTTGACACGTCTTCCCTGGCGTGTCGGGTGGTGAGGGAGGGTTGGTTCATCGTGTTCTTTTCCTTGTCGCTCTCCAGTGAGATCTCTGGTGAGGCTGGCGCGGGATGGTGGGGATTAGACGAGACGAGGAAGTAATGAAATTTGACGTGATGTTATTATATATGCTGTATATGTGGAATGGTATGATCAGGCGTCGGGTCTTTGCGGTTGCATGCTGTGAGAAACGATGAGCCTGTTTCGCAACACGAAAGTGCAAAAAGACTCAAGGTCTTCCGCTCTCTCTCTTCAATGAATAGCGAATAAGAAATTACAAAGCTCGTGCAGAAAACCCAAAAAAGGAAAATGAAGCGATGAAGAAAAGCGTTCGCTTCTGATTCCAGGCGTCCCCTGCCGAGGAGAATGGGGAAAGGGCGGGAGGCGGGAGATGGGTGGGGGAAGGTGGGTGGAAGGTGGGAGGAGGAAGGACAGGAAGACAGCGACAGGAGTCAATTATGGGTGAAGAACGAACCCTGATCCAGGAAGGTCGCCATTCATTCTTCCTGCGAACGGTGAATGCGTGACAGATAATGATATTTAGGCATGCGGCAAGCGTTGAAGGGCATTCATAAATATTTGCGCGATATCAAGGTGTTTGTTAAAGGTGTTCTTAGCTTACCCGCCACAGATACAGCATCGATTGTGATAGCAAGACGAGGCTAGATATTGAGACGTGACAAATAAGGAAATCCCTTATGAGAGCTTATCCCCACATTATTATTTGTCCCTGCCGACGGCTTCGGCGCACGAGGAAAAATGTACGACGCTTGGTAGTCTCTGGGCTGGGGGTTACATGTCCAGGACAGAGGAATCATTTTGTCATTATTTTCATCGCATGAGAAGGGTGAATTCTTGTTATGGAACACATATGCAAAAAATCACTGATCGTGATGCAGTAGTGCTGACAAACAAACGACAAAGAGAAATGTTCTGATGTAGTCAATGCATGTTCATAGATCTCCGCAACCAGAAGAATACTACTTCTCTCTACTGAAGGAAGTAGACGTGCAATCTAGCGACACATGTGGGGCGGGGCCATAAATAATGCAGAACCCCGCAGTACTAGTACGACACATGCACTATTAAGTGCATGTGTCCCTACCATGGAAAAACCCCTTATCGGTTTTTTATTTACACCGAAATGCTGCGCCAATATTAACCCCGGTCGCCTTTTCCGACGTGATGCCTGGGTTTCGAAACCCAAAATATCTTCCCTGAATCCTAAAGATCAGGAGACCTATAAGACCCTACAGGGTCCTATAGGTTTTTCGTGCTTACAAAAACCTATATAAAAGTCTCTAGGTTTCCTATAGGAAATTTCCATAAGGGTAGACCGCCACGAAATGGGGAGGGGTCGGACCTTGCCATGGTCATCGGTCTCTCCCTACCTTACAAGTGTGCACCATTCCTCACGATGGTTAGTTACGCATATTCCGTTATAGTTCAAATGAAGAGCATGTCTGCACACAATGGGTACTAGAGTACAGAGTGTTATAACAGGGGACATGAAATAACTCTCTGGTATCGAAGAATTGGCCTCCTTGAACAAGGTTTAGTCCCGCGGCGGGGGTGGCGCCATCTCTCGTCGCTTGGTAACATTGTTTCACTCTTCACCCCGTTTGGGCGGCGAAGGAAACTCTACGTTTTTATATGAGTTCAAGGACGACAGTCAAATATAATATGCACAGGTCGTGTACAAAGTGTGACAATACGCATACGGCACAAAAATAATAACCTATAGGAACGAACCGTCGGCAAGCACATTCGGACGATGGAATGGGCAGTGGAGTCTGGGCACGGCCGATAATGGTAAGGGGAGGACGAAGGAGAATGAACCGTTTCTGATACGGACGTGTAATCGTCAGGGTGTCTGTCGCGCCGCACTAGCGTGTGGGCGTGAAGTGACGCGTGAGTGTGGGCGTCGAGTGGCGTAGAGGTCGATTTTGCGCTGGAAAGCATTCGCTGTTCGCTTCGCAAATTTTGCCGGAAGCAGAATGCCGTGATTGTGAATGAAAGTTAAATGCTTAGAAGAGGTTATCCGCCTGGCGTATACGCGGTATATTGAAAAAAAAACATTATTTGCCTGACGAATGTGTCGAAGACGAGTCATCCAGCTGGCGAAAATGTATTATGAATCGACAAGAACATCGTCACGGCAAGGGTAGAGAGTAAACACCTGCGACACCGGTGAAAGGGAAATTATTGATCTCTGACCTATACTTTCAGCCTTCGCCGCTAGATGTCGCTAATGAGCCCCGATGATAGAGAATAGAAGACAAACAAGGAACTAAAAGTTAAAATTTCAACTCGGAATGAAATAGCCATATAAACCCCTAGTGACCCTAGGCTGGTAGGTGTAAACTGATTTGGAGGTGTCCTGGCCCGGAACCTTAAAGGACATTAGATCCCGTCAATGATGGCCTCACGGACCCTAGGACGCTTGCCCATTCGAGGACTCCCGCGGAGTGGAAGGGGAAGGAGGGGTTAGGGAAGAAAACGTCCATGGAAACACCATCCTATAAAGCTAAAGGGAAGTCAGTAGCTTCAGCTTGGGTAAACCTTGGTTGAATATCTACTACGAGTACAATACAAATCAGCTGCTCGTAGTAATTGTTCCTAATGATGGTTATGCAACAGTAGCAATGGTCCCGTATATGATTCATTTTTAGAAATGATCCTGTGAAGCAACTTAAATGGATTTCTCGACAAGTTTTGATCCCAGAATGGTGCATTAGCTCAAACTTACCGATACCGACTGCTGATTGTAAAAGAAAAGCCAGCCACGCACACTGCCGGACCTGAAATCTTTGATGATAAGAAAGGTGAAGCTTCGGAATCTGACGTCATCCCACATCATATTCCATGGGTTGCATGATAACAGCTTTAAAAATTTGATTCACGCGTAGTTGACTTCGTTTTCGTTTCAGACAAACGAAGACCGCCACGTTTACGTACATGTTGAAGTACCAGTGCGAGTACCACTTGTGGTGAGGACGGTTTCGGGGGTTTAGACGCCCGAAGTAGAAGACACGCTTCAGGCTTGTCGACCAGCCACCGGCACGCAACGCATGCAACGTAGGCAAGTAATGCAACACAGGCGACGAAGGCAAATTCACGTTTGAAAGTCGTTTCAGTTCGGTCCAGGGTGATCGACTTGCCGTGAATTGGGGAAGTAACACTCTCTACCCTTGCCGTGACGATGTTCTTGTCGATTCATAATACATTTTCGCCAGCTGGATGACTCGTCTTCGACACATTCGTCAGGCAACCCCCCCCCCCCCCCCCCCCCCCCCCCCCCCCCGAATCAAGGAAACTTCTTAGCCAATCATGGAAATTTTATAAGTGCGCCATAATCCGATGACGACTGTTTTCGCTCTGGAATTCCACTTCCAAACCGTCAGGCCCCGTCAGTTAAATTCACCTTCCTGCACGCAAGTCGATTACCCTGAACCGAACTGATTCTCCAGAAGCATCATGAGTTGGAAATATAGATTTAAATTCACTATCTTTCCAAGATCGATGGGCCACCAATGAGCATGGCCATTGCTTAACAATTGAGTTTCTTGGAATCGATCCTCCTCTACATGGATGCGAACCAGAAATAGATACCAGCAAATGCACATGTCTTCATGCTACGACCACGAGTGGACATCACTGACCATACGGGCAGGGCAGGCCAGTATGACAGGAAGAATATTGACCGGACCCCCCCCCCCCTAGTATGGCACCAAGAGAACACGCCCTATTACACCGCTATGACCTCACGTCGTGCTGCCATTTTACTGTTAACTGATGATGATAGGCGGATCTTATATGCTTCCTGACTGGAACTCACTTGGTTTCTAAGGCTCGAATGGCGTTAGACAAATACGTGAATCTAAAAATGTCATACGACCTTGTGATTCCCGGATAGCTTTTGGGCGGATCCGGAGGAGTTTCAAACTAACTCACATTTGCTGCGACAATGTTTTCCATGCAATGTATGCGGGAGATGTCTTCGAGTCCTTCAGTGTTTGTCTTTTCACTGTAATTTATGGCAAATTAGCTTTAAGTAATGACTAAGAGGGAAAGTTATCTCTGCGCAAATTGACCGTCAGAAGACCAGTCGGTGCACCTCGTGCTGCAATACGGAAGACCCTGGTCGCCATGCCTTCCCAACGATCGTCGCTGAGTCGCCGCGAGTCGGTCGACCAGACCAGCTCATGAAGTCGGTAATGCCTGTTCCAAAATATTGCGTATGTATAAATGGCCTTCAATGGATGGCTTTCAACTGAGGATTGTGTTCGGATATGCGCTGCCTACATAGCGATCAGTCAGAGGCGACGGGGTTCGTGCAACGGGTAACGCGAGCTCACCAGTAGTCCGAAATTTCCTCGATTCCCAGCCGGTTTCTAGTGCTTCCCGACTCCTACACTATTTAGTCATGAATTGATTGCTCTCTTTTCGAAGTGCAGCCCTTTTGTTCGCTTTCATTTATATTTTGTGACAATGTTTAAGGCGTTAACCGCATGGTTGAGTCCGCATTCAGCTACTTATTAATGCACTTGAGCATTTTTGACAGCAGTGGATGGATTGCAAGGAAGAGAGCCAAGACGAGTTCATTTCCGGAAAAAAGACCAACAGCATAGACGGTATGAGCTACACAACGAGTACTTAATTAGGGAACGTGGTCGCAACCGTGCTCAACGTGGACCCATCCAACGTCCTTAAATCTATCATTTTTTCGCCTTTCGTGGACTTCCAAAGTGGAGCGTCGCTGGTCTTCTTGGTCGGCTTGCGACGGAAAATGTAGTACGTGTGTCTGTAGAACCTAAGGTAGCGAACCAGCTTCTCTCTCATGTCTGGGACCATGCAGCAATAGAAGACGAAGATCCCGATGCCCTGGGGAGAAACGGATTGCCCAATGCACGTCAAAAACAATGTCATAATAAAGCAGTATGCACAACTCTTTGGGATCATCCCTGACTAGATTTATATTGGCATTTTCTTGAATTAATTAATGTACGTTTTATGTAAGGATTTCTTCAGCATGATATCTGAAGAAAATGCAGAGTCTGACGTTTATGATGCTCGCAATTTGTTTTCTTCGTGCGCGTGAATACCCTCATATTATCCAATTTGCCCTTTTCGGGTCAAAGTAAACATAGAAAGAACAACCCAAGAACCCTCCTCTCACTTGGGAGCACCCAACAACGACGAAGAAGTAGGCAAAGACCGGGGAGACCTCCATCTGCAGGACCCCCAGCAACCATCCACATCCGAGGAGACTCGCGAGGGAGAACACCCGCACCGCACTGCTCCTGCAACACATTTATCCATGCTCTGCCTGGCTGCCGAACTGAATACAAGCGAAGCGAGACTGCAACGGAAACTTACACATGCTTGCTCTCTGCCTGATGCTTCTGCATCCCACTTGGAACTCTCCCGACTTTCTTCACCTTGCTCAACACCCGAAAAAGGAGAATGGAATTGGCACCCACGACCAAGAGGACTGGAGCCGCAAACGCCCAGATGTACCCAGGCGAGGACAGCCAGCAGCTACGACATGAAAAAAATAAATACTCGCATATTCCATTAGTTAAAAAGAAAATTATGTGAGAATTATGGTGAAAGGAATATTAAAATGAGATAATAATGAAGTGTATTTGATATTAGGGTACTAGAGTGGTTCCCATAATAACAATCTCGTTCCTTATACAGTGTGTCCCAGAAACCCCGCCTCAATTTTGTACATTATTGTCTTTTTTTTCTTATTATAACGAGTGCTGTATCATTCGAAAGCTGAGACCTTTCTTAACAACTGCTGTTAAACCTGACGGGTTGTGATAACTGGTTGTGGGGGTTTTTGAAAGAGGATATGGATGCTATCAAACCGCGTGACTACCCCCTGACCTCATCAACGCAATTTCCTCCAAACTAAGTTCTATAAGCTAGGACATGTGTCAGAAAGCAGTGGATGATTTTCCCGATGAAGTATGTGTCATGACCAGAGTGGGAACCAATTTGAATGGCACAAAGATCGAATCACTGCTTCCTCATTCTGCTGGATGCTAGATGCTATACTCTGAATTAAATAATAATAAAGAAAATTTGATTTGTCCATTCACTTTGTCTTAGTTTTCGTCGGAACATGGGTTGGGGTTTCTGGGACACCTGTAATTACTGAACATTTTCCTTGCGAACGAAATACATTTATTATACTAAGCTTCTCACGGTTCCGTGTCGAACAATTGAAAACAAAGCCAAAGTAAATATATTTTTTTAAAACTGAATAGTAAAAATAGAAGTTTCAATTTCTCAACTTCGACACCACATCAAACGCTGTGTGCGCAATCCCATAACCTCACCCATGGCGCACCAAATCACAATGCAAGAAAACCTCCCCTAGTAGCACATAACATTGATTCAACGTTAATTCAACAGCCGGACGTAGAACCAACGTTGAATCAAAGTTGATTCCATGTTATGTGCTACTAGGGTCTGCACCACACATCTTTCATCCTTCTCTCCAATCCATGTACCTATTACCACCAGTACCGTCACGTTCTCGAGACGGAAATAAGATAGAAGCCTTACTCACAATTCTCCCTCGCCGTAACCGCGACTCCCAGTCCCAAAGGACACACCAGTCGTAATGGCCACAATCCCCACCGGCACAGAGTACCCCACCATGAGATAGAATCGAAGAGAGAAGCTTCGTCTCTGCACCATTTGCAGCATGCTATGCAGGCGCCACCCTTCCAGAGCCATCCAGGTGAAGACGCACAGGAAGGTAAAGTGAAGGAAGATCGCTGCCACAGCGCATCCCACCTGTCGACCGAAACGAACTCATCGTTAAACATTGCAGTAACTCGGATAAAAATTTGCTTGAGCTGTTACCGTCGACAATGGAAAGATGCGGCGGTCGATGACGAAAAGCACTAGGAGATATCCAATCAGCAACCAAAAAGAAAGTTGCTGATGTAAGTTCAGAGACACGTGCCGATCGTTGTGGGGATTCCTGAGAATCGACAGAAAATTCAAGCATATATATCGGTTCCAGGAAACCTATACGTGGCACAGTAAATGTTACCAACTTGCTCTTCTGGAAGATGAAAATTGCAATTCCAAGGCTTATCACGGAGCTGGATAGCAAAGTCATCGTCAAGAGCTCGAGGACCCAACCGCGTCCCTGAAAACGTGAATGGAAGAATCAGCTCTGACATGCTCTTTGGCTCATCCGTGGCGAATACTAATCAGGAAATCACGTAGCATCGATTAAGGCCTCTAACGGGATGGGTGAATTGAAGCATGAACTCACTACGTAGCCGTGAATACTCATTAGGACCGCAAAGTTGGTAAAGTGGTGCGATTGGCAAACGGTGTCGTCTCGATCTGAGGAAACCTCACGGAGGCCCTCTGTGTCCCAGAAGCCGCTGCCACTGAAATCAGAATTTATTGAAGGTCTGCAATGGAAACCCGGCAGACGGATTTGCCTATAGCTTTTCTTACGATCCGTTGACGTTCCAAAAAACGCATCGATGAGATGAGGGAATGAAGGTCGGCTCCTCTCCGTCGTGAAGGTGTCGCCAGATTTCCGCGTACGGCGGACTTCGCGGGGACCGGACGTTCCGGAAGGTCAGGGTTGCCGGATCGGTTAGGTTGACAGCCCCGCTGATCTTCATGGAGAAGCTGAGCAACTTAGTATTTACGACTTTGTTATCTCCAAATCTGAAATGCAATGACAACCATGGGTTTTTATAAGAGACAATGTCTGCAATCACGAACAGAAGTTAACTTTTAAGCCTATAAAACTCTCGTGAAACGGATGTCCCTCGAATATCGATGAGTAAAAGACTCCGTAATTGCCTTTTCTAAGAACGCATGGGTCTTAAGACTTTCTTATTAGCAGAGTAATTAGTCGATTGATTTCAACTGACAAATTCTGATGTCCCGGAAGCAGAACATTCAGATCCCGGACGTTGTACAATCCGCCGACAAAGGAGTAGTAGTCGCCGCCGACATCGTCCTGAAAACTTGCCGGCAACGTCAAATACGTGTCGCCCCCTGCCGAGGGAAAGACGACAGGGCCGGTCAGGCTCCCTTTCGTCCCGCTTCGAACTTCGACCGTGAAGACTGTCGTTGATCGGAGGAATTCCAGTTCCGTCATGTTCAAAAGAAGCTTCTCCAACAGCTGCAGTCCGTTGTCGGCAAAATTCGACGTCAACCTGGCGAAGTTCTCAGTTCGAGACATCTATGAGAAACGATTCAAGAAGCCTCTTGAAGAGCGGAGGCCCACTGCACTGACAGTTAAAGCTTCGTAGGTAAGTACTGTAGATAACACAGAGGTCTGCCTATGCGAATCACCTGTGTCAAATTGAGCCATCCGTCGAAGGAGAGAAGCACTTGCTCCACGGTCCGACTGTAATTCGCCAGGTACTTGTTGCTCCTTTCGAGCGGCGAGGGGTATTCGTCGAGGCTGTCGAGGAACTCGTCGAAGAGGGGACCTAGGAAGTCGACCAATTCGTCGATCTCGTCCCCCGTAAGTCCTCCTTCGTCCTCGATGGATTCTGTTAGGTTGTGCAGCAGCTGCAGTGGATCTCCTTTCTGCAACTAAGTCGATTTCACATCATTTATTTCCCTTTGGTATTACATTTTTTTAATGCAAGGTTTTGAAGTGATGTGGAACATTTGTTTCTCGAGAACGAGAAATGTTTTTAAAGAAAGTTTTTAAAATAAACTTTTATTATAATATAACAAAATGTATCAGAAAGAGCATGAGCATATCTCCCTCTCGCTAGGCGTATTTCTCGGGAATATTTTCTTTGCTGATGTCGATGTTTCCAATTGTGAAACGTTCCACTATGCCCTAACGTTAGTTCCCCCGAAGAATTTCGGCATTAGTCCTTTCAAATTCGGGAGGTGACTTTCGAATTTGGCATCCGCCTTTCAATTTCGGCAGTTCAAGGGAATCTTTTGTTTTATGGTAATTGACATGGGTACAGCAGGGAAGGAATTCTTTGATTGGAATTCTAGGTTTCTGGAATTATTGACAAGAGCGCTGCTGAAATTGAAACGACCGTTTCCGAATTGGAAAGGACTTATGCCGAAATCCGCCGGGAAAACCTATGTATATGCCATTAAGACGACGAAGAGACTCACCTGGTCCCAGAAAAAGTCCAGGAATCCACCGGGTTTCCGGGTCACATTCACAGTTCCTGAAAGAAGGGGAAGAAGCGGTTCCTCGTCTTCAGTTCGCAGAAGATCCAGCTCAAGTCACGTTCTTATAATAGGTAATGTTGAGGATTCGGGCTTGTATGGATGGAGACGATTTAGTCTCAGAAGATGATGAGAAGGATCAATTAAATCCAAGAAACAAGGGGTGATGAAACCCATCCAGGAAACTCGGCCTTGACCCCCATCGTTCTCCGAAATAGACACAAATGTGCTTATTTGATTGAGTAATATTAGGTTTAAATTTGTTTCCCCAAACAAGCCAGAGAAAATAATCCTCGAAGTGCAAGCGATCAATGGAGAAACACTCGCTATCGTTGCAGACAACTTGATTGGTATGGTCGCCCGCTTCGTCTGTGGAACCTCTGGGCTTCGGGGGCAGTTACACCGTCGGAAACGTGGTTGTTTTGTTGCTTCAACGTCTCCTCCTGTGTTTCCTTTGACCTTGCCTCTGACTGAATTTCAACGATGAATTAACCATGTATCTCATGAGATCGGGCTTTCGAGTTCGATGGGTTCGAGTCAAAGGAAACACGCAGCAAAATTAACGCAAATACGGCCAAAATCCGAAGGAAAATATTAGCCCCGAAAATGGTAAGGAGTGTTGCATGAGTCACGCATTCCAGGAGTCACACGAACCACTTCTTAGCAGTAGCGATCTAATGCTTTGAATGATGGCAGAACGTGAATGCATACTCATACCGGAAGGATAGGGAATTCACCTGGGACGCCGGTTGTGGTTTTGCTTGGCTCTGCCTCGGTGGTGGAGGTAGTGACGTTCGTGGGTGGTCCTGCAAAATTCACGAGTTCAGGAGAACAAAAAGTTATTGAGGCTCATCCCCGTATGGCATTTTTTTTAGGGGGGGGGGGGCATTACTTATTTCCGGAAGTTGTTCCGCTCAACTCGACATATGTTGACGTGATGCTTACCGAACAATGTCCTCACAATGTTTATATTTTCATAGCATAAGGGCTTGCCTGCGACCCCCTCAAATGACCTTACTCTCGATGCCTAACGTCCGAGTTCGGAAATGTCCTTCGGTCCATCCGTTTTGATGACGTGAATGAATTCCCAATAAACGCAGCAGCTAGAAACTTATTTGTTGCCAAATGCTCGGAAACCGTCTCAACATGGCTCCAGCTCAATTTATCAGTGAAAGAAGAGAACTTCGATAGGCAGAAGGCCTATGTTGTATCGAGATATGAAATATCAGTCGCACTCATGCGTTATCAGTTTCCCAGTCTCGTATATTTTTATGAACCGGACCTTTCTGACGAAACTTCGAGGTCAGGAAGAAACAAAGGATTAGAAGAGATCAAAGTATTTATGTTCGACCTTTCGTCATGTCAGCATCGTCCAAGACGCGTCCGCAACTGCACAGGGCGCATGAAATCTTGTCCGTCTAATTGATACTAAGTCGAAAAGACTCATTGGCGAACAGACGAGGCACATACTCCAAGCGAATTTATTTCGATGTTAAAAATGAGCATAGTGTTACGTCAAAGTCACACGCATAATTTTTCTACGATCATACGTAAGACATTTTCTCATCCAGTTGATATTTCGCATTTAAAAATAATCATGGGATCATCCTTTCCTTTACCCCAAAATCTTATCACGTTCGTTCTGCAAGGGATGCACCTGATGTTGACGGGGTATGCATCAGAGTCGCTTCTAAGGAGTGTCGTACTGCGGGCACTCCTGGGATGTCTTCAGGATCCTTATGGTGGACATCCCAAGGAAGGCACATAGAAAGGATTCTTGGGTTTTCGAATATGGTTCGCAATGGGACGATAGACGTTGCGATGGGAACGGGACGTCGCTGAGATTATCTCTTGCGACTGGGGACCGTTTACCACTGAGCCAGTCCACCGCTCAAATAAATACGAGGGGCAGTCGATAAGTTCCAGGGACATGGAACTTATAGACTGCCCCTCGTATGTTATCCAGAAGGGTGCTTTCCTTCGCCATGGAGAGAGGCGCGGTTGGGGCAATGTCAACTAGAACCCTCTGCCTTTTTCCAATGTAATTTATTGTTCCTTACCTTGAGACTTTTGAATGTCAGCTTGAACAAAAAAAAATCGTCTTACCCCCAAGGGTCGCTTCGACCAGTATGCCTACGCCTACATTGATCGCTTACCATCTTAGATGTTCGCCACTTGGTTCATTCCATGAACTGCATTTCGACGAAATAATCAGCAAACCTTTGATTGGGAAGTAGAGAATGTCATGTTGCCTAAAGAAGAATCATGCCTATATTCCCCTTTCATGCTTACAATTAGGCCTTAGAAAAATATCATTGGAAAAAAACGAGAGAGTGGGAAACATACTTTCGTCTTTGGTGGTATAAAAAACTCTGAAGGGATCGATCATCTTCCGCGTCAACAAATGGACCCAGGCTTCATCGCCCTCCACGGCCACCGTTGTATTCCCGTCGACGGGGCTCTCAAATGAAGCCAAGACTGTTTCTTCGACTCCCAAGGGAAAATCCTCTTTGTACCCATAGCCGATTCTCAACATCAATGATCTATTTGTGAAGTTCCCGAAGTCCTCCGGAGTCAAGAGAATCTTGATGATTCCGGTCGGACCGCTGCCGAACACATTCCACAGGCATTGCTATATGGTGAAAATGTAAGTCAATGGCTTTTATTTATTTATTTATTTACTAGTATTTGTGAAGGCAAGAGGCCCATGGCTTATGATGCTTTCTTAACCTCTTCGGGTATGACATTTTTGACACGGGAAAAATAATTTAAAATATTAGAGACGTAGAATACTTTGCAGCCTGAGAGAACAGCGACACCAACTGCAAAGAAAACTCCCAACAAATTGGCAACGTCTGTTACATTTGTGAAGCTGGGGATCGGTTTTGACCAATTTGAAATGCATTGAATCAAACGTACAAAAATGGCAAAAATGCATGTAGAAAATTTATGAGAGAAAGTTTTCACATGAATTACTTGGTATCGAGGGACTTTCCCATTTTCATCTAAGCATGGTTCCAGGATTCCCTCCAACTCTGTAAAATTCTGCTTGCAGTCCCCCACGAACGATTCGCAAAGCCGTGGATGGCTCGTCTCTCCAAAACCTGACGACGAAGTCCAAAGTAACAGAAAGTAGTGTTTCCTAGCCGATGCCATATAACCTAGGTACACAATGACCGATTCCCTTACCCTCATTGGATTCATATATATTCCTTTAGGAATATATACGAATCCCATAAGAACAGATAGGAATCCTATATGTCCCCTATAGGGCCTATGAGGTTCCTTTTGGGACCTATATGGTTCCCTATAGAACTTATAGGGTTCCCTATAGGACCTATATGGTTCCATATAGGACGTGCTGGGTTCCCCATAGGCCAATAGGGTTCGGTTTGAAGCTCTCCTCTAGGCCACTAGATGGCGGTATAGGGTTGTCGCATTCCTCACAGTACACAAAAGTGCCCTCCCCTTCATCCAATATCCCAAATGCGTTTCAGCGAATAGACGCTTGGGTTCGCGGGTTCTGACTGCCATTTTCTTCGTTCGAGAGATGAATCTTCTCTCGACCTGAGAAAATGGGAGACCTAAAAGAGAAGAACCATTCTTTTCTCTACTTAGGGAGGGGGACGCGCTATACTGAGCATTTTCAGAGACATATGTCGGCCTGGACAAACAATTCTGCAGGTCTAGGCATTATTGCAAGGGCCCTCTTACGAAAATGTATTATAGGATTCCTATACATTCCCTTAGGAATATATAGGAATCTTGGACCTATGGATATATATATCCTATAGGATCCTATATGCCCCATAGAGTTCAGTTTGGGACCTATAGAGTTCCCTATAGAACCTATAAAGTCCCCTATTGAACCCATAGAGTTCCCTATAGAACCAATAAGGTTCCCCATAAGGCCTATAGGTTCCCTATAGGACCCAAAGGGTTCTGTATAGGACCCGTAGGGTTCCCTATAAAACCTATAGGGTTCGCTATAGGACCTGTAGGGTTCGCTATAGGACCTATCTCTCATAAATTTTCTACATGCATTTTTGCCATTTTTGTACGTTTGATTCAATGCATTTCAAATTGGTCAAAACCGATCCCCAGCTTCACAGATATAATCATGGAGTCCCGTGAAGAAATATGCCCTTATTCATTTTGAAAACCACGTACGAAACTGAGTAGACTCTATCCAAATGGAGTTTAAGTAAAGAGACGTGCTCGCAGGTTCTGTCTTCAATTACCTTAGGTTGAAAGAAGAATACTACATCTTCCTTCCGAAGGAAGTAGACGTGCAATCCAGCGACACATGTGGGGCGGGGCCATAAATTTTGCACACCCCCGCAGTACTGGTATTAATAATGCATGTGTCCCTACCATGGAAAAACCCCTAATCGGTTTTTCATTTACACCGAAATGCTATAGGTCAGGAGACCCATAAGACCTTATAGGGATCCTATAGGTTTTTCGTGTTTCAAAAACCCATAGGAAAGTCTATAGTTTTCCTATAAGAAATAACTATAGGTTTCCTATAGGACATTTCCGTAAGGTCCCCTATCATGGGAAAACCCCATGCTGGTAATTAATTAACACCAAAATGCTGCGCCAATGTTTACCCTGGTTGCCATTCTCGTTGTAATGCCAGGGTTTCGAAACCCAAAAAATCCTACACGAATCCTATACGTTAGGAGTCCTATGCGACCTTATAGGTATTCTATTGGTTTTTTTGTCTTTGAAAAACCTATTGGAAAGTCTATATGTTTCCTATAAGAAATAACTATACGTTTCCTATAGGACATTTCGGTAAGGGTTATGCTTTTCGGGTACAGAAGATTCCTACATGGAACCTGCGAGCCATGGTCATATGAATTTCCTCCTTGTCTTCAATGGTAAAGGAGAATTCCCCTCGTTTGGATTAAAATGGCTTCATTATTTGCACTTTTCGATTTCACAAGGAACATATTGTAACATTTCAACTGGTTCCATCCATCTGATGTTCTTCGAACACTTTACTCGGTAAGAATATAAAAATTCGGTATTTTGATTGTGGATACGTGAGTGGAACTGCAGGAGACATAAAATTAATAAACTGTGCGGAAACGTCCCAGGCAGAGACATGGTCGTATCCCAAATTTCTCGACGCCATGGCGTAGACGGGAAGAGTAGAATTTGAAAATACCCCTCTGCCGTGAGGAGAGCATATTGAGACCAATGAATCCTGTGAGCAGGAAATTACAAATCACATGTGTTGTGTTTTCTTATTCAAGCAATATTTAACCGTATTTTATGCTATTCAGGTACTTTTTTATTTGTTCTAAATTGAATCAGGTTATTCAAACATCTACACCGACTTTATTTTTTTCCATTAAATTTTTTATTGAGAGAACCGATACTTTTGGACTGCATTAATTGTAACTAGTCTCACTTGCGCTGAAGAGCAGAGAGGCGAGACGAAGAAAGAATACGCTGAACGTCTCCATGTGCCCCAGGGAAAGTGGGCGCTTCGATCACCATCCAAGTCACTCGGTCTGTTTTCGACTGTTTCCCAGATTCGAATTCGCTCTCGACCGGACACAGTCCTTCACTTGGAGTGGCGGAATCTCACCTCGCCACTGAAGATCATTGAGTGCTGCACAAAGTGGAAACGTTTCGAGGTCAGAATTTTGCAGTTGGGTCGGTTGGGCGGGAGATTCGGCGGGCTCGACGCCCTCTCGAGAGCTTAGTAGTGCAGACTTCACCCCGAGGAACTATAGTATTTCCCCAGCATCCTTAACGTCTAACATCTCTCTACTGTTGCATTTTCATATGCCCTTTCGGTTTATGCGTGGGAGGCAGAGATGCAGAAGCTAAGCCATGCTTATCTTATCAGGGATAACCTCAGGTTTCTACTTAGCTTTGTTCTCGCCCTTCAACTTTGACTCATTGAAAAGCGAGAAAAGTGGAGATGTTTGACCAATTATAAAATAGCATGTGCAGCAAAGTATGCTTATAATAATCAGTCAGAAAATAATATTTGTTATTTTATTTGGGATCGCAGTATTCTTCCTACACAAATGCCGTTTGCAAAAATGCTGTCACTTTGAAGATGTATTTTTCTACAGTTTGGTGCTGACAAAATGGGGTTTTATCTGGTATTGTTGGCACAATTTTGAATTCATTGCTTCGAAATGGTATCAGTAAATGCGAAAATGGTACGACAAAAAGTAAAATCGATATTGTTTTGATTAATTTTGATTAATTTATTTATTTAGAACCAGGAAATTGCAAGTGCAGCGAGTAAAGTACACTAACTTTCGCTGAAGGTAGAAAAATGAGGCTTATCACATAGAAACTGATGTCTCAATTTGCTTCTTTGAAAATATGGACTTCAACCTCCCGTCACCCGCTGTTCTAAAGCATCTCATGGATCGGAATTCGATGTTTTTCTTGATCGGACGGATTCCGCATTCATATTATGGCTATTTATCATGTAAAAGTGTTATTGCAACGGCAGTCGCAGTCATGAACTTCTGAAACGAAAGCATGCCATCACGAGAGACGTGAGAGACGAGAGAGAGAGTCTTTGTTCCTCAGGCCACACCGAGATAGCGCAGAAGTTCTCCAGCGGTATATAAAAACACTGTAAATAGAAACCCCGATTAACAGGACAGGAAAGTTTAGGATCCAGTGGAATCCACATGAAATAGGATTATAGGAATTGGAAGCCTGCGTGCGATTGGGCAAGAACGAATATTTAGTAAGAGTTGAGACATAACTTGAAGTTCCAAGGAAGAGTTGCGCGCATGGAAGAGAGGTGAAAACCGTGGCCCTCCCTAACCGAGTTCACGATCGATAGAGAACACTCGATGAACGGCATCCGAGATCCAAAAAAAAATTTCGTATCGGTCTGGATACAAATCTTTCATTGTACTAGCCAGGCTACTACATATCTGAAGTTATCCCTTTTCGCTGCACTCTTAACACTAGAAGGGTCGGACGGGCCCGCATACCTAGAAGGGCCGCAAGCGGTCATTTTGACCGCTACTGCTAAATGACTGGCAAGCTTCTGAGAGGCGGATATCGACTGACTACCAACTGACAGATATTGACAAAGTCAGTTTCTTTTTTATCTTGGAACCAATGAAAAATTTTACATCAGAAAATACAAAATTGTTATTGAAAGTGAAAAGTACATGAGTAACGTGCTAAATGTTTGAGAAGCAGTCAGGGCAAATGATTATCTTGTCCAAACATTTGCCACAAACGACCTTGTTGCAAGTAGAACATGTCTCAAAGGTTTTGCTCCTTTTGCATTTACGAGTACTTGACATTGGCAAGTTGTTTTCAGATAGGCCATTTAGCTCGTCGGTCATCCCTTGCGAAAATGTCTTATCGGATTCCTATATATAGGACATTTCCGAAAGGGACGGCTCTCTGGATCGCTTCTACCGATGCAACATGAGTTCCTTTCATTGTAGCTTTCAGTCTTGGAAACATGAAAAAGTCGCAAGGAGCCAAGTCGTGAAGTTGGAAGGGTGTTCTAGCACAGTGTTTTGTTTTTTCTGCCATAAATTGCCTCGCAGAAAGCGCCGTTCATGTGTGGGCATTGCCTTGATGAAAAATTCAATTGCTTAGTGCGAGATCTGGTCTGACGGGCAAAACACGTTTTCTGAAACGGTCCTACACTTGCAGGTAAAATGCTTAGTTCAGTGCCACTAGTGTCACTAGTCCTGGAGGTACCAACTCCTTTCATGTCGAAAAAAACTAATCAGCATCGTTTATACTTTGGAATTGGACATGCGAATTTTTTTCGTTCTTGGGGACGTGACTGTTTTCCATTGCAGACTCTGGCCTTTCGTTTCTGGGTTGTACTGGAAGATCCCGGTCTCATCTCCTATGATGATTTTGTTTAACAGATCGCGACTTTCTCACTGAACGTGCTTTGACAGGTCAGAGGAAACCTGCAGCCTCCTTTCTTTTTTTTCGTCGCTCAGGTTCTTTGGAACCATCTTTGCGCACACCTTTCTCATGTTGATATTTTTGGTTAAAATCAACCTAACAGTCTCTCTGTTTGAGTTCAACTGGTCCACTATCAATCTGGGTTTGAAACGTCGGTCTGATTGAACCAACTTTCTCACCCTTTCGACATTTTTTTTAGTTTTGGAAATCGATAGGCGTCCCTACCGGGCGCCATCTTTAATGTCCATTCTCCCTTCCAAAAAATATTGGTCCGGTCAAAAACACGTGATTTCGACATTACACGATCCCCGTAAATCTGATTCAACATGTCGAGAAAGTCCGTGGCACGTTCGTTCAGTTTTTATCAAAAACTCGATGATTCTCTGTTTCACAAATTTTTCGTATACTTTCAGAACATGATTGGAATACTTTGACATTCACCAATCTCCAGGAAGGCTATAAATCACAACCTATCGATAAAACTAACTGACGCAATACTGACAGGAAGATTACGAAAATAGCGAAACCCGAGCTAGTGTTTCCACATGGCAAAAAGAAAATTAGGCCTGGAACTTTATTGTCAGACCTAGTATGTCTTAAGCATGACTGTGCGGTTGGAAATGAATTTCGCTCTTTCAAACTCTCGCTTGTCCATGAAAACCCCTGGTTTGCTATTATGTGAACTAACTCATCCTCCAGTTGTATCCTACATACGAACATGTCTTCTGTACACTCAGAGAAATAGGTAAATTGGAATGATATACTTCTCTAAATTTTCAGTTCGATTTACACTTTTCGTTTTACATCTCTTGCTTCCAAACCGTACCGGTTGTCTGAAAAGCTTTTGCAGAACAAAATTGCGTCTATAGTCGAGGCAAGAGGGCGTTTGAGAGAGCTTTGGTATAGTTTCATGGAAGACAGACACTATGTGTTCATGTTACAAATTCATGTTTATGAACATGTGTTCTTGTTAGCTTTTCGTTACTCTGTGCTATTGTTCCTGCAAAATAAACATTCAGAACCATGCGAAACGCGTGGGCTTTTTGGATACCGTGAATGATAAATATTAACGGGAAGCCCTTAAATAAAGAAACTCACTCGATCCAGGAACTTGATACATGAAAGAAAATGGGGTAATGCTATTCCTCGAGTTGACAAATTGAACCCAGGCTTCCCCCCCCCGATTCGTTGACTGGACTGTTGAATGTTGCTTCTAGTCCGTCGGGAACTTGTCCAACTTGGAAATGATCTTCGTAACCCTTTCCCATTTGTACCCGAACGTCCCCATCGATGAAGCTGAATGTCTATGGTTTGATTTCGAATATGATGGTTCCCACATCTTCATCAGGGAATACATTCCATAGACATCTCTGAAAATTTGCAAAGGAGTAAGTTATTAGAGTGGGGTTAGTATCACTAAAGCAGTATATATTTCAGGTACCCTATATGAGATCATTTTCCAAAAATACAATATACAATATACAAATACAAGAAACGCGCAAATTGCTCAAAAAGTTAATATCTCGTCATTTCATGTAAAAACAGACGAAGTAATAGGAATTAACTCTTGCTGTTGCACCCTCGTCATTGTACTAGTATTTATAGCTGGTGATGCATCCTTTAACCCTTTGGGGTCCGAGTATTTGAATGTGATAGCACTGTCATCGAAGTTTTTCTATCCTTCATCATGAGTCCAACAAGAGATAACTTGGACGTGGACTCCAAAGGGTTAAGGACGAATAACCTTCAGTCCACAATCAGTTCCTGCTCTGCTGTTCTCATTAGAACGCATGGGCATTCTTTCCCTGTCAAGAACAAATGAACAACTTTTTTTCTTCCATTCCTCAAGATAACCGTAGACTCTACCGGTGAGCTTAACATTGATTACAAGTACATTTCTTTCTTTGTGGGCTCTGTGGTATTTTCTCTACATCATCTCCTGAGTTTCCCCCGACGACTTCATGTGATTGGAAGGAGGGAGAGAGTTTATTTTTAGTAGTGAAAATCATGGGATACATTTATATCAAGAAAGCAACTTCGTGATTTAGCTCATTCGTCCGGCCAGCCGTAAGGCTACTGGGACCGGTTCGAGGGGTTTTTTTGTTTTTGATTTCAGGTTAAGAGTGAAAGAATCCTACGGAAGTTATAAACTGAATCCAAACGGGTTTCGACTTCATATCTAATACAGGATGAAAAATTCGATTCGGCGAATCCGAATCAAAGAAAATAATCTTAGAAATTAGAAAACACTCCGCAAGTTCTAAGGCCAACTCACTAGGAATTGGGGTACAAGTCCCGTTTCGTCTGTGCAGGGGACTATGTAACCGGAAGGGTCTGTCAGATTTGCGAGATAGTCACAGTCTACATCTAAGCAATCACATCTTGGTGGAGCTCTGGTTTAAACACCACTTGCTAAAACACTTCCGTCCCATGAAATCAGCAACACTGCAAGATTCATGATGGATCATTTGCTACGAATCCATTCGAAGTCTCAGTGGATAGAAACAATATTACGCACAAAATCATATAAGTTGATCCTCTCCGGACGGAGGCAACGGTGGGTCTTACTTGCTCAG